CTAGGATTGGGCAACCTGGCAGTATTCCAGCATTCGTGCTTCCTTCTGGTGGTATGACAGTTAGGCACTGAAAGGATGATACAGCTGAACCAATGGCCATCATGAATGCGACTTTCGTGAACAATGATGTAGAATTAGAGTACTGGCTTGAATGTATGTTGAGTGCAAGTACTCCGGGCCACCAGACTAAGGTCGTTGTTCCCATGTTTGTGTACAATTGTGACGAGGTGCAACGACCATCTGTGGGGCTCGTCTATTTAGCTGCATCAACTTGAATTGACGACTATCAGTAACCAGTAGGACAGATGACCTGCTTCAGAACAACCTAGGCTGTTCTATCCCTCAGTCATATTCTTTCGAGTTTGCACAGGGTAAGGAGCGTTCAGGTCGATGCGTATGAAGCTCTACCCAAGCCGTATGTGGTATTGTTCATTGTGTACGAGTGTCCATCGACGTGGTGGGACGTGACAGTCTAATCAGAAGACGGGCACCAACCCATCTGTTCTAAACTGAGTAGCCGGCGCGTGCTGGTGGATCGCCTGCATGGTCTTCATCTGAAGTATGTCCGAAGAGGGGGAAATGCTTTGCACATACCTTCGGTTGGATTCCCCTCAAAGACCAAACCAGAACACTCAGATGACAAAGGGTTAACATTTCAACTACTCCATGTCAATCACAAACATCCAGTGTGAGTAAGTCGATCACATTTCAACGATGAGTTGCAAAAAGATCGAATGACAAAGCGGCTTTAAGATGATAGCGAGCGGAGTCAGTTGGCAAACAAATGGATTTTATGCACAGAGCTTCAGTATCTTTACAGATTAGTAGTTTCAGATTCCTATTACGTAACGATATGATGAATACCTTCACAGGGTCAACCATATAACCGATCTCAAACATGTGTTTAACAATCGATAAGCAAGGTTTTCTCACCTGNTCGTGTAGCAGAATGTGTCATGACCGTTTACGAAAATGTACAAAGATCCTTTACGAAAGAAGCCGATCAGTTCGGCCGACGTATGTGTCATTGCAACCTCAAGTTTAAGGTCGAATGACCACGAGAACTCCTGAGCCTGCCTTGAACATTGTTTCTTGTATTGCGTAAACAGGGACTAACTAAGTGAGGTTAATGGCACAATAAGATTTCTCTTTAAAATATGTTCCCGCATGAAGGGAAGGCACATCATAATTGCTTCCAACAACTCTAGTGTGATAGCTGAGGCGTTTATACGACAATGAATTCGGTTAGCAATCTGTTTTAGTACTTGTTCCATTTGTAACTGAGCTGTTGTGCAAATATTTCTTGACGTTTGTATGTCGTTGGGGGAAAACTGCTGGAATTGACCAGTGCGTGTGATTTTACAAAGGACAGCATAATATCACGTGACCCCTGAGGACGTCATGCGGTTGATCCTGCACACATCTAAAAAAAATAAATCGTTCAGCTGTAGCACCCTTCCGGTGCCTCACTGACATGCCACCCGAAGGAAGCACGAAGGCTGGGATACTGCCAGGCTGCCCAAGCCTAGACAGAGGAAGTTGAGAGGCGGAGGTCCGCGGATTCGAACCGCGGACCTTCCGGTCAGTAAATTCGCGCTATAACCACTTGGGCCATCTCTCCTGCACACATCTTCACTCTACTGATATGCAACTGAAAGCCGAAAGTACTGATTCTTAGGGAGACAATCATGATGCGTAAACAAAATTGCTGATCCATTCACTTCTTGAAAAACATCCAGTCATTCGTTATTTTTAGACTCATTGCCTGCACGTGATTCACCCACAAATGTGAAAGGTCTTACGCTTGCGATTGGAAAAAGTAATTGGAATGCTAATAGCTCGTGAAATATATCCTCCGGTTGCTAGGATGACGTGAATTCATGGTGCCGGTGGTCAAAGCAAACGCAGTTGTTATGCTGATCATGTTAGAACTATCTCAAATTTCTGTAATCTAAATTGAACAAAGACCAGTGAGTCCTTGCTACACATTCTGCATTCATGGGGTATGAACTGTTACTGCCCGGAAATATGCCTGCCTATTGAGTTGGCCTACTACAAAATGACGAGTACAAATTCATAGCAACGCAGACAAATAGGGTAAACACCATATTGTCGATTCCTCCGGGTGAAATCGAGGCCCCAAGGTTACTTGCGAATGCAGGACGGGAACTCCCATCACTCGAATGTACTGTTGGAGTTGGTGACAGTACGGAAAGCAAGCAAGAGGTGACCCTGTGACAGTCGCAACGGTGGCTGTTTGTTGGGTTTCTTACAATGCATGAAAACGGTCGATAGTTTGCCCATTTCCCGAAGGTGTTCTGCTTCACCGCAGAAAATGTGGCGGCTAATGTTTATTTTATTCTACCCGTTCATCAGCAAACAAATAAACAAACGACCAGACCGCGCACGTGTGCTCGTAAATAAATCACAAATACAGCGATTCCCTATCAGTGAATAGCTCGTGCGCAGCATGTGATGACGCATTCCATGAATGAATGGGCATAGACAACTGAAAACTGGAGCACCACGAACTACTGGCAATGACGGAGTGCTTTGCAGAACAACGACTGGGGAGTTGGTGATCAGATAAACCATGTGACAACACACGAAACGAGGCGATATATCACAGCGACTGAAACCTTGGCGTGTACATTTACAATTCATGTGCATCCAGTCGGGAAACAGGAGATTCCCGAAACAATGAGGTTGGAGATGTGCTTCTAGAGGAGAAAGATGCCAGTAATCTGAGTATGCCAGAGTATGATATAATATGATGAGTAGTCCATCGTTCGGTTCGGGCTTCCTGAGTCAGCACGATTTGCTCAAGCCGACTTGACATTTCGACGAAATCCAACAAAAGCTTTCGAAGAAGAAGCCGGATACGCCGATTCTTTGCAGGTAAACATGTTTAACGTATGCAAAACAGGCAAGCTTGATCTGATGAGAAGCCGAAATGCCTTCAGCCGAACCAAAGTTACTTGATGCAGATTAGAAGCAGCTTCACCAGGACGAAGGGAAACAAGCGAACCGTGACGATCTGATATGAGAATGTCGCACAACCATGGGAATATATCTACGCGTCGGAGAAGACTCAGTCCAACCCAATAAACGTGTGGCGCATACCGGACAAAGACTGATACTGAGTTTGCCGGCTACAAGGGCAAGATGGTTCCAGCTGCTCGTTTCCGACAACGAGAGCAGGAGAATAGGGGAGACATGGTGAGGTATTCGTGGCAATGGTATAAGCATTTGCTTAAGGTTAAAACCTTCAACTTGTCTAACGAAGCGGGTAACTGGGTAGCTGTGCATTGAAAGCAACAGGATCGGTGCTGAAGCACCACTGACTGAGTGAGCGATTCACATCTGCCCCTGTTAGTAACCGCTAATGAGTAGGGCCCCGAAGCTTCCAGTGAAGAAAGCTGTTTACTGGTTATCAGGCCATTGGATGTCTGCCTCCAAATGGTTTCCACGCGCCACAGGGCTGGGTGAAGAGGGGTGTGCGAGGTAGACAGCCCCATGACATGTGAAGTACATGTTTAAATGATCCAACCCATGAACAGCAATATTGTCTGCGTACTCAAATTCTGTGAGGGAACGCTCCGCAAACATTTCAATCCAAGGTTCCAAAGGCGGAGGAGCAGCAGCAGCGCGTCAATAACAAAGCTGAAGATGGATGGAGGCAGTTTTATCTCACACCACTCAGAAGACAGTTACAGACAGGTATACCTTACGCGCCCGCAGTTGGCATAAAGGATAAGTCCCTATAAGGGATGAAATTTTGGAAGGAATACCTCTAATCGCCAGGCGTCGCCATAGTTAGTGAATGTCTTCCTGGCAATCGACAAAGTTGCGCAAAATAATGTCACAGAGCACGCTAGACGCTCAAGAACACCATTTACCGCACCGACATGCACTGATCTCAATCGAACCAGACAACCTTACGGCGTAAAAACTGTTTACTGGGAACCAGTCAAAAAAGGTGTTCCAGTCCTGAGGCAAGCGCAGCTCTAACGCTATACATATCACAGTTCACTGCATCACCAGACACTCGAAGAGTGAAATGTAAGACATCTGAGCTCATCCTAAGCGGATTGAGGGGCATGACTGCAGTACGATCTAGTGGACGTGATTCGGGGACACAACATAGAGTGACAGAAACGGAAAGCAAGGTTTTAGCGAGGTGTCTGTTGGCTAATTTGACAGACAGCTTAGACGCGTGACATGGTTAGAGGACTGACAGAAAGAATGATTCAACTGGACCGACTGAAAAGTGGGTAGGGGTATGACTGAGGGCCGGTGAACGAAGGGTTACAAGGGAGAGTTATACGATCCAGTTGCCCTGGCCAGGGAAAGGGGTTTGTTGGAGTCTTCGAGCTAAAAGTCTGACCCTCAAAGTAACGAAATTCAGGATTTTATAGTAGTGTCGCCACAGTGGCTTTTGACTAGAAAATCTGGTTCACACTAAAATTGATAGAGTTTATTTGGATGACCTTGCCCGGAGCCAAGGACCCAATAGTCTGACCCGGTTGACGGCGGGGACTGATCAAGCCCACACGCGCAGATAGTTAGCCATACACGTTTCATTCCTGGTGCTAGTGCATACCGCAGATGCGTTCGGCAAGGTTTGTTTATTTTCGACCATATTGGATAATTCACCAGATGTCACTATCAACCGTTGGGCGATCAGAGTGTGCGGTTTTTAGGACCTATTATTCCTCGGAGGATAGCGTCGATGCCCCCTTGAAAACGGATACACTAATTGCCCTTGGAAAAGCTTACCGCCTTTCCCGTATTGTGAGTATTCGCAGTACGGGGAATCGCTACTCTTTATCTGACTGTTCTCCTATGGTCCTCTTGGCAAGGCTAGTCTGCGTGGAACGAAGTTCCACACGGTGTAACCCGTGGGACTACTGCAGCACTCAAACCCGACCACCACATCAAGGTGACAGCTTTTGATCGGATTGAACACAGCCCTGATAAAAAGACGATTCAAAACCCACCGGTGCATGAGATACTCCGGTTTCTTGATTCCATAAATCTGACGAAACGAGTCTTCGAAAATGGTGGGCCGTGCGATCCGGAGCTCCAGTTTGGCCTGTGGATCACGGGGACTTCGTAATCGGGAACGGAAGAAATCATACTTTTGTTTGTAGTTTCGAGAGTAGGGAACTGCTGGGCCACCAAGCCGTTCAAGCCTTGGGTCTTCCCACTGAGTTGTACGGGCGTCTGCAAAAGGGTAAATGAACGGGAAACATGATAAAAGCGTGGCAAGAAAAAATAGATCATTAGGATAATCACTGCAAAGTGATACTGGATAAACTACCTGTCTATATTGGTACGTGTAAAATGTTCGAATGACCAAAGTCAAGTGGCAAAATGGGCCCGAACCCATAATCGAAAGTTTAATTGGCCCATTTGTGTCCGGGCCGTCCTAGTGAATGATCATGTTAAAAAACATGCAGATACCGTTGCACATCACCCCTTATGCACGTTAAGTTGACAAATGCTGGCCCCTGGAACACCATGCACCACAAGAGCGTCCGGAAGAATAAACGAACAAACCGTCGCCTCAGGTCTCTTGTACAGCTATCGTGTACATACTGAGAACGAGAAGAATACTGAGGACGTTCTAGACAAAACAAACAGTTTGTGTCAACTAAAATGAACTCAACTATTAGGAAGTGTAGTGTAGCTGATTCCTGCGCAGTTACACACAAATTCCACAGTGGAACACACAAACCGGGAATGGCTCTATCGCTCTAACGCAGTGTTGAATGACGGACAAGCCTTAGTAGCTGTTGACCAACCAATATTTGTTTAAAGAGGCGACAACTGTGCAAACAATCCACGGAACACGAATTTCTACACGAAACAAGAATGTCTGGGGGGTGAATAAATCATGCACGTACTGCTAACAGATTACTTCTGAAGACAAAGAGTTCACATAACACGGTATGGAAGATAGTATTGAGTCGCACGACAAAGTAGCAGCCCTGTGTAACAAGTTGCAACGATATCACCCGAAGTAGAAGAACTGAAAGTAACTGACACATTCAACCACACAAAGTTGGTGATTTGCCCCGCCGATACTGTGAGACGCTCAACTACAAATGGAACGATCAACACACCGGAAACGTGAATTACGGTTGCACTAATTGGCAGTTGCGCATACCATTGACAGATGCACGTGTCCACACAAAAAAACCCGCATGGATTTGAAGGACAAACAAGCAGACAGTTTGACTCTCAGTGGTTTCCATTGATCAATGAGTTGTCGCAAAGTTTTCCCCATTTTCCCACCACTTTTGAGGACACAAACACGTTACAAGTGACCGATACTCTTGTGTATTAGGGAAAGCCCGCATGACTGTAGAATCAGAGTCGACTGTTAACCGTTCCGAAATTAAATTAAAACAAATCGCAGGTATCTAAGCAACGAACTGATACCACTTATGTACTTACGATGGTGAAGTAAACTACTCACAATGTTGCTTAAAACTTTGACAGCCCACGACCGGTTTCGCCCATCTTGGGGCTCATCAGGTAGCCGCAGTCTCCGAGTTTCCGTCAACTTTATGTTCTACTTGAACCCCAATTGAACTTTTTCCGAGAAATACACTCATTTGCAAATCAATTTGGTTTTCACAAGAGACTCAGCTTAATCCCTCGTTTATGATATTCTACAACCGAATGTGCTGCACACAGGCCGATTTGCAAATGTGTGTATTTCTCGAAAACAGTCCAATTTGGGTTCAAGCAGAACATAAGGTTGACGGAAACTCGGGGACTGCGCCTACCTGATGAGCCCGAAGAAGGGCGAAACCGGTCGTGGGCTGTCGAAGAGTTTTCAGCAAGCTTGTGAGTAGTTCCCTTTATGAAAACATACTGCGATATCTCGAACATCGTGCCAACTGAAACATGAGGCGGCCTGTGTGCAGCACATTCAGTTGTAGAGTATCATAAACGAGAGATTCAGTTGAGTGTCTCGTGAAAACCAAATGGATTCGCAAATGAGTGCATTTCTCGAAAGTACATTTTTGGTTATTCTACAGGCTCGAAAGCGACTAAATGGCCTCAAAAGCCCAATTCAAGTATACTACCTAGACGAACAGGAGATGGGACTGGAGAATCCGACCCTATGTGCACCACACCGAGGGTAGGACCGAACCGCAGAAACAAGTAACACAAAAGAACGATGAAAGGACTTACTGTGATTGATATAGAAAATTCGACCATTGGTATGGACCCTCTCTTCCCAGCCGGGCTGCAAATGTAGATGCGGCAAACTAAAATTAGCACCCAATAAAAAATGAGGTAGTCAAGGGGCCTCGAAAAGAAACATAATTTATGCGAATTATATCCCAGCAGGAATGAACATGATTCAATCAATAAAACGTGGTTTAGGAAGTTGTACGGACTAGGTTAAGTGTTTTGGTCGAATAACACCGGAAACGAATGCGCCTGTTATCCGACAAAAAAAGTTTAAAAAACCACCCTTGGTTCCGTTCAGCCGATTGCATCTGACAGTCTACTATCCCGCGGACTTATTATTTCGACGGATCAAATCATCCAAACAAGTGGTGGATGAAAATAACTGAACCCTGGATGAAGTGTGTAATAGTAACAAAATAATGATATAAATCGTACAGCTGTAGCACCCTTTGGGTGCCTAACTGCCATGCCACCCGAAGGAAGCACGAAGGCTGGGATACTACCAGGTTGCCCAAGCCCAGACAGGGTAAGTCAAGAGGCGGAGGTCAGATTCGAACCACGGATTTTCCGGTCAATAAATTCGCGCTCTAACCACTGTGTAGGAACAGAGTGAGTGAGATTTTCGTTTCCTGGCCCGAAACCTGGATTATGTGCGCCCACATGCTTTCTGCCAATACCATTGCACAAAGACAAACGCTATTTGGTGGATTTCATGTAAAGAGAACGTGACCAGTGGTAATAACCCAATCCACGAAAACCCCTTGTGGCCAATATTTCTGCAAACACTTGCTAGTATTCCTTTACGAGCAGTCGTACTTATTATTTCGACGGATCAAATCATCCAAACAAGTGGTGGATGAAAATAACTGAACCCTGGATGAAGTGTGTAATAGTAACAAAATAATGATATAAATCGTACAGCTGTAGCACGAAGGCGCAGTCTCCAAGTTTCCGTTCTACTTATGTTCTTCTTGGACCCAAATTGCACGAAATTTGATTTATACAATCTGAATACCAATTTGTTTTTGACAGGAGAATAACCCAGCTCAACACCATAAATTGGTGACTCAGCTGGGTTACAGGTGAGTCCCCCGTCAAAACCAAATTGGTATTCGGATGAAAGAGATAGTTGACAAGTTCATTGCGAACTACTGGTCAGCAAGTTTGGGGCTTGAACTTCTCGCGTACTTTTCGACTGCTCCAATCCAGGTGAGACTGGTCCATGAGTGCCTCGATCTTACACGGCAGTGGGCGGAAGCTGATTCACTTGTTTATCGTAACGAGAAACGGAGTGCAGTCGCGACACTCACACCAACAAATATGTGTATGGAAAAAGCTTACAAGAAGAAGGGATGCAAACCATTGTGTGGATGCATCATGGGATGCGCATAAGAAATAGACTAGAAACAATGTCTAGAGAACAATAGAACGACTGACAAAAAGACTCAACAGATGAGCAGTCTGGGATACCAAGTGGGACCAGTTACAGACCAAAGTTACGAAAGACAATAGCGTCCGATTCCAAGGTTACCACCGTGGAAACCAAAATAGGTGAATGGGTTTCTATTAATGGAATGCCTCCATATCATGTGGGTGGATGTACCTTGATTCTCCCTTCCGGCGCCTAGCTGCCATGCCACCCAAATCGAGCACGAGGGCTGGGCTACTTCCAGGTCGCCCAAGCCTAGACAGGGGAAGTTGGGAGGCAGAGGTCGGGTTCGAACCACGGACCTTCCGACCAGTAAATTCGCGCTCTAACCACTTGATCCATCTAGCCCCTCATTATACCGGAGATGAAAGCGAGTACTCACCTAGTAACCGTTAGCATATTTACCGAAATCGGAACCACAGAGCATCTAGAGATTGCAAAAGAACTTCGAGATGACCTATTCAGCAGCAATATCCCTAACCAAAGCACCAGCTTGCTTTGTGCCTTGGCAGAATCCATATCAAATGGTCACGTGCTTATAACTCGAGTGACGACTCCTCAGAACCTGACATTTTTAGTATGAAAAGTACGACATAGCTCTAAGCTCATAGCTTGACAAGTGTCACGTTCGTGAGCGGACCGACAAGTGGCTACACAGAAACCAGATAATTTCACTGATCACCGGCTAGGACAAAACCCACAGTTACGATCCACAACGGGCCACCTAAAATAGATAAACGGACGCATGGATCTGATGTAAGCAGATTAACGCAGACGAGGAATATAGCGTAACTTTTGAAGTCTTCAGTTTAAATCTACAAATAGCCACTACACGCCTGCAATGGGTCCCCGCTACAGTCCTAATTGTTCAGTCACACACAAGGACCTATGATTGATCGGTAACTAATTGATAACCTCGCCTACTCTATAGCGAGACGCACCATGAGTATGCCACCATTCACCTTGGTTGACAGTTAGTGGCTGTTGGAGCTCGTTTCAAACGGCTAACATCAGAAAGTGTTGATAGCGATCACTTACCGGTAACGGTCCCAAGTCTTTCATTGAATGCCGCTCAGCATCCTGCTTCAACAAAGAGCCAACGTTACCTTGACTCGTAGAGCGATGCGTACGAGGATCATCCTGGGGATGACAACCACGGATGAAAGAAAGTCAGATTATTAAAAAGTACAATTATCTCTCCCCGAACAGCTCACATGAAGGAAGGAAAGTATAATTGGTCTCCGGTGAGAAATGGTTCTTCCGGCAAAGTATAAAACTGCGTAACAAATTTGTTATAATAATTTGTCATGAATGCACCAGTCACCTACCCATGTTGTGCGCTGTTCATTATGATTAATGAAAAACCGGCGTCCACCAGCGGTACGGGCGACTTGCCAGCCGGCTGGAAGCGCTTCTTCACCAGGTTCAACACCAATCCCCAGAACGATTCCTTGCTCTGAGGCACTGGAAGGTCGTTGGGGGGCGTTCGATCGTGGGGATGCGGTTCGTTGTTCCGTTTGATTGCCTGGTTCATCTTCGGGTTGGGCGGCAACACCTGAGCTGGCGGCGTCCGGACTGACGGCGGTAGTGTGCTCATCGTCCGGTTCGGGATCATCCCGCCTGGGGGTTAACGTGCTTGGTTGAGCTATGGATTGAGTGGGCAGCAACAAAATGTCAAGATCCTCCGCCCTCGGGTTAACAGGAGTTTAGTTATTTTCAAATCAGGGGGAGACTAAGAGTTCGTCGGCAGCAACAAAATGTCAAGATCCTCCGCCTTCAGGTTAACATGAGTTTAGTTATTTTCAAATCAGTTTGGCGCTAAGGGGAGACTAAGAGTTCGTTAACTGAATGTACTGCACACGATGGCCACCCCATGTTTCAGTTGGTAGAATATTCAATAGATTGCAGTATATTTTCTTGATATAACACCACGTTACTTATAAGTCTGCTGAAAGCTCCTGGACAGTCCACTACAGGTTTCATCCTTTTTGGGGGTTATCAATTAGGCGCAGTCACCGGGCCATCAACCTTACGTTCTACTTGGACTCCAAGTTGTATGCGAGAGCAGCTGCCATTGCTTGCAAACAAGGTTGGTGAGCCAAACTAACATACTACTAAAAAAATACAGTACTAAGAAACAGCGATGATGGAAGCTGAAGGTGCTCAGACTAGAATTCTTTTCCTTTAACGGACTACGAAGTGAACTAATAAATCACTCTGTCATTCAAGCTGAAAACCGCCCTGAAGATCTATCGAACTGAGGTAACCCGGGAAGTGAGAATATGGTTGTGCGTTTCGGAAAAGAGACGGCGAACCAGATTTTCGCCCTGAATACCCGAATACATCGTGCCTAAATGAACACCCTAGTAATGAAATGCTCATTGCCCGGAGTACAGGGATCCGCAAATTATCTCTCAGGAAAAGTTGATCCTATATCCTGATCCGTATTTCCTTAGACCAATACAACTACTTCTCTTTTTCGGATATATTTTGCTGTTCCATGACATGGCGCGTAACAAAAAGGCGCTCTACTAAGTTACTATGCTTCATTCTTCAGAAAAAGTAATGCAGATTGGAACGTGGAAAGAGAATCACAAGACGGAGTCGTTTCCTGATTAGAAAGGGCTAGAAGGATGGTCCTTGTGGAATTCCAGAAGGACCGAGTCTTTAGTTTTATGGGCTCAGAAAGAAAGCGTTCAGCTGTAACACCCTTTCGGTGCCTAGCTGCCATGCCACCCGAAGGAAGCACGAGGACTGGGATACTGCCAGGTTGCCCAAGCCTAGACAGGGGAAGTCGAGAGGCAGAGGTCGGATTCGAACCACAGACCTTCCGGTCAGTAAATTCGCGCTCTAACCACTTGGGCCACCTCGCCCTTTTTTGTGGGCTCAAAGGAGACGACATTGTCCACTCCACCCAAATTATATTCCTCACGCATGCACAATCTCTACGATATATGGGTAAGAGATACTGGTGTTTGTTGCTGTGAATGTCGCTAGTTCAGGTTGTGTGAGTGTACGGAGGCCAGCCGTCCCCAATAACCGAACATCACACCATTTGGACGGATGTCACGTGCAGGACGCGGACCAAACGAAGGCGTGCCCTGATTGGTCGGAATACCAGCCAATCTGGATCGAGCATCCTTGACTCGACTCTTCTCGCCCCCTCACGAAGATTCTGACAGGACTTGTGGAACACTTTGTGACTACCCTTTGTCTCCATAAAGGGCTGTGTAGAGCTACCATACCTCTTGATATACCATAGTGGGTGGAGCATGAAGCCAAGGGACCGATAGAGAGTTGCATTACCGCTCAGCAAGATACAACAATGAGTGAGTGCTGTTCAATATGAGAAGCCTGCATAAACACCACGAATCAGCAGTTTGTGGTACCCGACCCACAGAACGTTGTTATTTTAGAAGTAAGATGTGTTATGTAAAAACAACAAAGAGAAGCCTCAGGGACTGGATAGACAAGCGGTCACCGTGCGTGGCCACACTCTGACTTTCGTGGACATTGGAACCATGTGATATATTCCAACCGGTGCTCCAGGTTACTCCAGACTGAATTGTCAATCAACGGACTAATTAGTGTCGCGGAGAGGTACTTATGACGTCGGCTGTTGATACGAGGACAGGCAGCTGAATCCAATGAAAGACACCATGAATAACCATTTACGGATATTGGTTCCTCGAAAGAGGTGTTTTCCCATAGATGACGGTGTAGCGGCGATACTACTGATGGGGCATGCGAGTAGTATGTTTTCTCATAAATCCGCTTCGCGTCTCTTGAAAAGTGAGATCTGTTACGGAATTTGTGGAGTCGCTTTGTAGCACTTGCTTGCATCTGAGTAACAGTCAATGAATATCCAAGAAAGTTCAGGTAGGCGCGTTCAAGGAGAAGGTGGATATTCAGTGTTGTGAACAAGATGCATATGAGAGTTTTGCTTTTCTGCCCAATAGTCTGTAACTGTTCAGCCGGTGTTTTCTAATAAATAACTCTGCAGCGAAGGCCTTCTTCCTTTCAACGGTAGTATTATAATGGTGACACAGGACTCAGTAGAAATCTTAGGCGTTAAGTGTTGCAGATCGATGTTGTAGAGGAAGTATGTCACATGAGACCGAATATGCGAACGAAGGGACTTGTTTGAGGGCCAGGGGGCTGGTTTCTTCCAGGAATTAGTGGCAGGTAGAGACGAATAAAGGAGCATGACCTAACCAAAAAGATCCATCATGTTGAGGGCTACAATTTCCCCCAAGGAATGAGAGATAGCGGAAGCTAGCCGACTTGAGGTGGGTCTTGAAAATCAGGCTGAATGCGGAGGGATACAACCAACCAGACCGACAATTAAATGAATTCGCTTTGGAGGACTAGGCAGATAAAATTGCTCTGGCCATCCAACGGCAATATCCTTCAACATTCTCAGAAAGTCTCCTCTTGTTTTGTTGGTCACAACAGTATAAAAAGGATACTGATTCACTCTGGACTAAACAATAGAACAGTGCTAGGGATGTTGGTCGTAAGAAATACCTTTGTTTAGCATACCTACTGTTGTACTCATACGACGGTGTCTCCGACAAGCAACGAACAGTGCTAATCCAGTAGCCGGGAGAGGAAAGTATCTTTATCGTCGTCTTCGTCACCTGTGAACCGCGCAAGTATCATACAGTGGTTTAAAAAGGGATGAAAAGTAGGCTACGAATTGCTGGCAACAGTATAGAGTAACGTGGGGTGAAGACGCAGTGAGAACGATATTTTGACGATATTTTACATGTACTGGAAGGGAACAGCGGTAAATAGTTCGAATACATTAATGCCACTTGGCACACAAGTGGCTCATGTCTGCCGGCGTCTTCAATTACTGATGAGGCACATCAGGCAGCAGAGGCAAATGATTTCACCTGACGTTCCCTAAATCGTCCCTACCCTGTTCATCGTCGGGCACAGGGCTCTGTGAGCCAGACTGTCCTCTGGCGTTCAGAACACATGATCAAGCCTGCGTGTCATCAGCTTGTTTATCGTGGATGAGTCTGCTCCTCCGAAAAAACGTCTGCTAATGTCATAGATGTAGCAGGCTGATAAAAACTGCCACTATGGTCTTGCCCACTCGAAGGGAAAATTCGTCAGGCTAGTCTGATTAAAACCAGTATAACACGTGTGAAGTGCAACAGTTGGGTGAGCTGTCTAGGCTGACTAAATTGGCTTTCAGCTCTACTCTATTTGTCGGTGATAAAAAACCCCATCAGGAGAAGCATCTAGAGAATCCGAACAAATATCAAGCCAAAATGTAGTATTATTACTCACAGTTTTGCTCCCGCTGAAGATAAAGGAGGGGGAAAGAAAGAGTGCCGTAAATCAGTGAACAAGTTTGAGCACAAGGTGACTAGAGGGGGTTAGACTACAAGCTAAATGAAACGTATGAATGAATAGCAGTCGTAAGGTTCGAGGTAAAAAAATATATATAATCGTTCAGCTGTAACACCCTAGTTGCCATGCCATCCGAAGGAAGCACGAGGGCTGGGATACTGCTAGGCTGCCTAAGACTAGACAGGAAGTCAAGAGGTAGGGGTGGGTTCGAACCATGGACCTTTCGGTCAGTAAATTCGTGCGCTAATTACTGAGCTATATCGACCCGATTTGAGAATTCAACATCAGAAAGCCGGGGGATACTAGGGTGTCCAACCAGTTCTCAGGATAGATGTAAAGTGTGGTGAGATTTGACCATTTAGCCATATGCGTAAGGGGCCAGGGCATTCCCAGCTAGGTTATAGCGGACTGTTCGGTGTATCTTCAGTGTTTTTCGACATTACATTTAATTCGCTTGTTTCACGACAGACACTGTTGCGCAACTGACACTTGTGGTTTAGATCTTCTAGCATAACGAATCTTTCGAGGTGATTGTATCAACTCACCTTTCATTTTAAACAAGAAGGTATCGTATCTGGCCTCTAACTACATGTTCAAATGATAACCGAAGGAGGCTGACCAAGACGTAATTGAAAGCGTGATCATGATCCACCGGGACGATGTAAAGTGTTTTTTCACTTGCGTTGACGCAGTATTTCAACACTTTGACCTAGTGGATGTTGTTCTGCATTTATGCCAGTCACTTCACCAGGTCGTTACGCTGCTAATGCCAGAAGTTTAAGCTTTCTGAGCTAACTGTGACGACCGGTCAGGCTGCTAGGACTAAACCTGTTCGCACATGCCCCCATTGACCTGGCCTCGGGGGCTTGCTTGTTCAGTCATACTGCTTGTTTTACTATAAGAAGTCGAGCGAACGGAGCTCTCATAACCATCTCCCTATAATTCCAATCAACACTTCATCCCGTAAGTGAAGTCTATCTGTGCTGAAAAGCCGAGAAGCGCTTCTAACTGTTTCGTCCTTGCTTGGAAACATCTAATTATGATTTAATCACGCTGCTGGTCAGCCTTCAGCTGCTAGCTAGAAGGTTGCGGATAGGTTCTTGGGGTTCATTAGACACGCACTGGTGATGACTCCCAACAGTGTCTCTCGGCCTTTCATCACTGAATAATTTCACTTTCTGGAAGGATTCTCGATTAAAATTTCTAAGATCTCGCATTCTGTCTTTATAATTATTTCTCTGATTCTCGTTTTCTAGCACGTCAGTCCGAAACGACACGACGATACAGAAGACTGTATCACGCAGGTGACATTGCGAACAAACACATCCACGATGACGAGGTCTATTTGTCGGATGGAAGCTGTGTAGTTCGTTCGGGCTTTGGTCCTTTGGCTTCATTAAGCTACCTATCCGTGCACACGTACGTAGCTATCATGTAACCCATATAAAACAATAATTTCGTGCTCACCATCTTCACTCCTCTACCCCCTCCCGTTAACTGATGGAAGTAAGGTTCGCCAGTTGGGGTTTTATGCAAAAAGTCAAACAAGGCAACACGAGGAGAGATCGAGTAAGCTCACATTAAGTGCGACACCATATTATCAAACCAGGGAATTACACAAACGCTTACAACCACCGGATAAGACGATTGGTAAAATCGATTCTCAAACGTTTTGAGGTATGCGTACGACGATCTCGTCTTCTTTCAGTCATGTTCCAACTGGATGCGCACACATGCCGGCAACATCTCTTTGCATGGCAAGAACAACGCGACGAAAACAGAGGCAATTGAAGTAGTTACCAGAATAGTAGTATACTCTAACATAGACACTAAACTCATGGAAATGAAACCTGAAAAAGGGCGAAAATGGGAGGGAAATAGGCTAAACAATCAAAAACAGAATGATGAACTCACTGCCTCGGGACCGTCTGTTGGAGAATGGGACAAAGTGTCTTCCAGGCTAACTTGTCGTCGACGTAAGTACATGGTTTGAGCAGCACGAACTTCGTCCATCGCTTGGTTGGCTAGACTAGGACGGGTTTGTCTTGAACGCGCAGGTTCCGTAGAACCTCCACCGGCCATAGTGAAACTTCGTCGTATCGGGTGAGCTCTGCGTCTGGAGTCGCGCATATCAGAAACAACAAGAGCTGGAGATGCTGAGCCGCAAGGACCGGTGGAGTTGACCAACGGTGCCGAACTGGGTGAACCCGCTTCGACCATTTCGGTATCTTCAACCACAGCGTTTTCCTCTAAAAAAAGTACAGAGGGTTACAAATCACGTCAAGGCTTTTGGTATGAGAGCGGCAGTGGATATCGAAAGAGAACTCACAACCCCCGGGGAAGCGACGGAATCAGTGGTACGCCTCGGAATAGCTTGCAACGGAATAAGGTATGGTTAAGCTAGGGTCAGGTAATTGTGTGATGCTTTATACGCCTCGATTTCTTACAAACCCCCATCCGAAGTGTTTTAATCTCACTTGAAGAGAACACAGAGATTCGGACTTTCCCTGAAAACATGACAAGGGTGTGGCACCTGGATCGCAGCTGGTAAGTGATGCAGACCACGAAGTCAGCATAAAAAAAGTACAGAGGGTTACAAAATCACGTCAGGCTTTTGGTATGAGAGCGGCAGTGGATATCGAAAGAGAACTCACAACCCCCGGGGAAGCGACGGAATCAGTGGTGCGCCTCGGAATAGCTTGCAACGGAATAAGGTATGGTTAAGCTAGGGTCAGGTAATTGTGTGATGCTTTATACGCCTCGATTTCTTACAAACCCCCATCCGAAGTGTTTTAATCTCACTTGAAGAGAACACAGAGATTCGGACTTTCCCTGAAAACATGACAAGGGTGTGGCACCTGGATCGCAGCTGGTAAGTGATGCAGACCACGAAGTCAGCATGAATTAATGCGCGACGGTTTGTTTCCAAAAAGAGTTAATCAGGAACGGTGGAGCTTCTCGCAGTGAGTTTTCCGTTTGGACCATCAGTCAAGTGACTTTTCTTGAAGGGTTCGGAAAACACTATAGAACATGCCTTGTTTTGGCTGTTTTGGTGCCGCTGTTCAGTGATGCTGTACACAAGGAATGAAGAAAGTATTGGCCCAAAAAATACTGAGAAACACTGCCTTAGAGTGAGGACTTATTCCCGAACGATTCATTTTGAAGCTCCATGCAGTTATATCAGACACGAGACGAGTAGAAAGAAGACACGAAGCTACCGATCAGTTGATTGAGAACAGTATTCGAGTGACAGGGTGTCGACCAACCGAAAACGAACGCAGGTAATGAAAATGACGTGACCGACTATTGGTCATCAGCTATTCCATTTCACCAACTCCGCGTCAGTAATGAATCAAATCGTCTTTCAGTTACGGCATAGACTGGCTTCAGTTACAGGAGGAAACCTGAGTTGAAAATTCTCCTCGTGCTATCAACAACAAGTCGATCCTGCCGAAAAACCGAGCACAGATTTTAACCAATGGCCCTTTCGTCCGGGACTGTCTCCTACCTAAGGTGTGCCCCACACAACGAAGAGTCCAACCAACCAAGAATGGGAACAGTAACAGTTGAAATCGTCCAGACAATTGTAGCATTATATTCAACAAGGTCACCAAATGGAAAGTGTTGTCCAAGTTATATTCAACAAGGTCACCAAATGGAAAGTGGAATTTGTCCAAGTAGCTGCAGTTTAAGGGTACAAATGATGCGACTTTAAAAACTAAGGGTGAATCTCGATCATGTTAAAGGAAGCCCACCTGCACTGTGATGACTGTCTGCATCGCTGTAACTTCCCGCGTCTAGAGAAGAACGCGATGGAGTAGAATGGACACGAGCCGCCTAGAAAGGGGGTGTGAAAGGGGCGCATTAGGTAGGAACAAACCCACTCGTTCTAACACAGTTCCATCCTTCATAAAGAACCCAGGTGAGTCAATAATCCCTTTCAAGGGGGTTCCATCAAACTTGACACGATACGAGGCACCATACTCACAGACCAGAGAGGTTGGTTGACACCAAAGAATAAATATATATAGAGTTCCACCTTTTCAAACAAGTTATTATACACTACAAGTGACTATACAAGGCTGGACAACACATCTGACCCTTCAATCAAGTATTGCAGTTTCTGCGACGTTTGTCACAAGTGGCGAAATACACTCATTTGCGAACAGACTCTGTTTCGCGAAAGACACACCTAGAACCCAACTGGATCTCTCGTTTGTGATGTCTCCAGGCAACTGAATGTGCTGCACCAGGCCGCCTCATGTTTCAGTTGCTACGATATTCGAGATGTCGCGATACAATGCAATGCACTACTCATAAGGTTGCTGAAAATTGTTTGACAGCTCCCAACCGGTTTCACCCTTCTTGAGGCTCATCAAGTAAGTGCAGTCCCCAAGTTTCCGTCAACCCCATGTTCTAATTCAAACCAAACTGCTTGGTTCCAGGTGAGTCTCTCGCTAAACCGAATTTGTTTGCAAATGAGTGTAGTTCGTCAAGTTCGTGCAATTTGGTTTCAAGTAGAACATGAGGTTGACGGAAACTCGGGTACTGCGACTACCTGATGAGCCCCAAGAACGGCGAAATGGGTCGTGGGCTATCGAAGAATTTTCAGCAATCTTACGAGTAATGCATTACGAATAGACTTTGTGACAAGCAATTTATCCACGGTTTTCATCGAATTAGGACCTTTAAACTCCATACATATAAGCGCGTTCTACGAGGCAACAGGTTTCGGGCAACCAGTAGACAGCTGCTTAGATGTGACAGTCTATATGCATCCCCAAGGAAACGGGGAGAACGTGGGATTGCTGGGTTTCACCAGCCCACAGAATCCGGAAGCGGCAGTTCCAACCCTTCAATGGTAGCACAACATTAATCATGCGACAATGTCCCAGTTGAATTCGAGGAAGCTCGATTATGCGCCAGGAATCCGCCATGTTCTAATAGAAGTATCACCTTCAGTGGAAAATTGGTTATTCGGTGTGAGGCCCTCCTTCGAAGGCTTCAAGCGGATGCGTACATCGACTCGGACAGGAAACCCAAACGTAAGTGACATGTCGCGTTGAACTCAGGACTTTGTTATGAGAATTCGTCTGTTCACAAGTGAGACAAAACCGACTGGAAAAACAGTGAACGTTATAAGGAAGCTGTTCGCTGGACTTCACTAAAATTCATCCACACAAGTAGCTTCAACCGAATCAAACAGCCCATTATTTCAACAGGAAGGCAGCAAGCCGTTGTGTTCTTTATCCATCGACTAATCCGCGTTAAAAGGTGATCACAACAAAAAAACGTTCAGCTGTAGCAACCTTTCGGTGCCTAGCTGCCATGCCACCCAAAGGTTGCACAAGTGTTGGGATACTGCCAGGTAGCACAAGCCTAGACAGGGGAAATCAAGAGGCAGAGGTCGGGTTCGAACCACGGACCTTCTGGTCAGTAAATTCGCGCTCTAACCACTTGTACCATCACGACAAATTAACAGATTATTATGAACTTAGGCAACACGGTTGTACAATGACACATACAGACCGCCTGGTGTGACAAGGCCTCACAATTGCAATTAGACCCACGTTTGTGGGGTCCATATCTATGCCGGAAGCAGACAGCGACAATTACAAAAAATAGACCGTGATACAGCAAACCGACGGTTGTCCTAGTTAACAGAAACGGGAGGAAAAAACCCTAGTTATGCACCAAAAAATTAGAAAACCGAATTCTCTCGACAGGTCTAAGTTCCACACATGCACATAATCTTTGGGTCCCTGGCCGGAGTGTCGGACAAAGGTTCGCCCGTTTCACCGTAGGTCATGGAAGACAGCACAGCTGGTTGGGCGGCACACAAACAGCACAGGAATGCGGACCGTAGACAATAGCCAAAGAGATGGTTTGAGAACCGCTCTGGTGGTCTGCGGAGCACACACGGAGGAA